GTACAGAGCGAGCAGGGGGGGCGGGGCGGGGGAAGGAGGGCGGAGCGGCGGGTGAGGTCGGGGTCGCCCCGGCAGACCCAGGATGGACAGGATCTCCTTCTGCATCTCCTTCTTCTCTCGGCCGCTGAGGCGCTTGAAGCTGGAGTGGACCACGGCCTCGGCCTGGTGGCTCCACAGGGAGAGGAGGAGCAGGAGGAGCAGGGGCAGCAGCCGCAGGGTCCTGGGGTGGAGGAGAGGCCACTGGGGTGCGGCGGGGGGGGGGGGGGGGGGGGCGGGGGGGCCCCGGGAGAGCCCGGGGGGGCAGGGGCTCCCTCTGCCTCTCCTTCTTCTCTCGGCCGCTGCGGCGCTCGAAGCTGGAGTGGACCACGGCCTCGGCCTGGTGGCTCCACAGGGAGAGGAGGAGCAGGAGGAGCGGGGGCAGCAGCAGCAGGGACCTGGGGTGGAGGAGAGGCCACTGGGGTGCGGCGGGGGGGGGGGGGGGCGGGGGGGCCCCGGGAGAGCCCGGGGGGGCAGGGGCTCCCTCTGCCTCTCCTTCTTCTCTCGGCCGCTGAGGCGCTTGAAGCTGGAGTGGACCACGGCCTCGGCCTGGTGGCGCCACAGGGAGAGGAGGAGCAGGAGGAGCGGGGGCAGCAGCAGCAGGGGCCTGGGGGGGAGGAGAGGCCACTGGGGTGCGGCGGGGGGGGGGGGGGGGAGTGGGGGGGGAGCGGGGGGGGGGGTGGGGGTCGCCCCGGCAGACCCAGGATGGACAGGATCTCCTTCTGCATCTCCTTCTTCTCTCGGCCGCTGCGGCGCTCGAAGCTGGAGTGGACCACGGCCTCGGCCTGGGGGCTCCACAGGGAGAGGAGGAGCAGGAGGAGCGGGGGCAGCAGCAGCAGGGTCCTGGGGTGGAGGAGAGGCCACTGGGGTGCGGCGGGGGGGGGGGGGGGGCGGGGGGGAAGCGGCAGCAGGGTCCTGGGGTGGAGGAGAGGCCACTGGGGTGCGGCGGGGGGGGGGGGGGGAGTGGGGGGGGAGCGGGGGGGGGGGTGGGGGTCGCCCCGGCAGACCCAGGATGGACAGGATCTCCTTCTGCATCTCCTTCTTCTCTCGGCCGCTGAGGCGCTTGAAGCTGGAGTGGACCACGGCCTCGGCCTGGGGGCTCCACAGGGAGAGGAGGAGCAGGAGGAGCGGGGGCAGCAGCAGCAGGGACCTGGGGTGGAGGAGAGGCCACTGGGGTGCGGCGGGGGGGGGGGGGGGGCGGGGGCGCCCCGGCAGACCCAGGATGGACAGGATCTCCTTCTGCATCTCCTTCTTCTCTCGGCCGCTGCGGCGCTCGAAGCTGGAGTGGACCACGGCCTCGGCCTGGTGGCTCCACAGGGAGAGGAGGAGCAGGAGGAGCAGGGGGAGCAGCAGCAGGGGCCCGGGGTGGAGGAGAGGCCACTGGGGTGCGGCGGGGGGGGGGGGGGGAGTGGGGGGGGAGCGGGGGGGGGGGTGGGGGTCGCCCCGGCAGACCCAGGATGGACAGGATCTCCTTCTGCATCTCCTTCTTCTCTCGGCCGCTGAGGCGCTTGAAGCTGGAGTGGACCACGGCCTCGGCCTGGTGGCGCCACAGGGAGAGGAGGAGCAGGAGGAGCAGGGGGAGCAGCAGCAGGGGCCCGGGGTGGAGGAGAGGCCACTGGGGTGCGGCGGGGGGGGGGGGGGGAGTGGGGGGGGAGCGGGGGGGGGGGTGGGGGTCGCCCCGGCAGACCCAGGATGGACAGGATCTCCTTCTGCATCTCCTTCTTCTCTCGGCCGCTGCGGCGCTCGAAGCTGGAGTGGACCACGGCCTCGGCCTGGGGGCTCCACAGGGAGAGGAGGAGCAGGAGGAGCAGGGGCAGCAGCAGCAGGGTCCTGGGGTGGAGGAGAGGCAACTGAGGTGCAGCGGTGGAGGGGGTCCTCTGCTGGAGAAGCAGGAATCTGCAGCTGCAGGAGCCGTCGGTCGACATGGTTCTCCTCCCGTTCACTGGTTACTCAGGTACGGAGCTCCTCCGGGAGCTCCAGGCCCTCGAGTCTCCTCGGCTTGGAGCGGCCTGTCCCCAGACTCCCTCAGAGCGTCCCCTCAGAGTGTCCACAGTGTTGATTTGAGGCTGATGTGCAGAGGAAACGTGTGTTTACAGCTGTTTATCTTTCCTCCCTCTCTAATCTGAAACTGAAGAGGAAAAAAAAAAGAGGAAAAAGTCCTGAGTCTGTGATCGACGCAGAATAAACAGAACGAATCAGAGTGAAGACAGAACCGGTCTGAAGGACTTAAAAAACAAAAACTGGTTCAGGAACGTTCAGGTCCAGTCCTTAAATGTAATAACTGAATTAAAAGATGAGGAATCAGGTTTGAAGATAAAAGTCCAAAGAACCCGAGTTAAATTTAGCTTTAAACCAAAAAAAAACATTGAAGAACCTGCTCTGTAAAAGAAGAAGTTCCTGCAGCTCAGAAGAACGTCGGCGGCTGGAGTCTGTTATCCATCAGCTCCTCATTCATCCATCCATCCACACCCACACGTCTGTGGAGACGTCTCCAGATGTTCTCCTCCAAACATTTATCCAAAAACAAAGGGAACGTCGACACGGGGCAACGCGTCAGAACTGTGGTTCTTCAGGAGAACTCCTGATCTGGAGGCTTCAAAACCGTGTCAGCTCCTGGTCTGAGGAGATCCAGCAGCAGCAGCGTCGGCAGCAGCAGCAGGAGGAGGTGGAGGTGGAGGAGGAGGAGTGTGTGTGTGGCCCCACCCCTTCCCTCTCTGCCTCTCTTTCAAGTCTTTAAACTCCTGCTTCTCCTCCCAGTTGCCCCCCGCCCCACCCCTCCTGCTCCTCCTCTCTCCTCCACCCTTCTATCTTCTCATCGCTGCTTCCTCTCATGACCTCATCCACTCCTGAGTCTCGGGACGAAGACGTCAAACACCAACGTCTCTGCAGGAAAAGACACAAACAATAAAGACACAGAATGAAGTAAAGACGTTCAACCAATAAAAACACAAAGACACAAATATCAAACATGTTGAAGCAGTTAAAGGTGCAGTGTGAAAAAAAAATCTGGATTAATATGGAAATGCATTTTTAGACGTATTTTATTTTACATTACTGCTAATAAAATATATATTTTTCTACATATATAAACATGTAAAAAAATTAATTTCATATATTTTTCTTTTATTATGTAATAAATTATTTGTTTTGTTTTTTAGTCAACTTCATTTTCAGGATGAATTTTCCATGAATTTTTATTTCATCCCTTTTCAAGGGACATGATCTGACATTGTTTATTTTCTAACATCCCTGTGTGTGTGTGTGTGTGTCTGCGTGTGTGTGTTTCATCACTGGTTTACTTCTATTTTTCTTCGGTGTTTGTTTAAGGTCTGCTGCTAATGAAAATTCAAAAACATCCAAACCAACCTCAGCCTCTGAAGTGGCTGCTTGTTTTTCACGCTCTGTTTAACTTTCATGACTTTTTACAAACTGCCACTGCTGCTGCTGTGAGTCTGAACCTGCAGCAGAACCAGAACCAGGACCAGGACGAAGTGACTCAAATCCAGCTCCTGTTTGTCTTTCTCTCCTCTCCGATGCTTCCTGCTGCTTGTGGTCACTTTGAACAGCATGAATAACACTGACCAAACCAGGGTGACCACGGCTCAGTCTGCTCTGGACCCAAGGGCGAGGCACCACATGCCAGGAATTAACCAACGTTCCTCTGCCATTTTTTTTCCTTCTTCTTCTTGGTTTATCTGGAACATCTGCAGCCTCAGGAAATTCTTCAACTAAACAGGAACAAAGAAGATATATTTATATATTTATATTAAATACAGTTTTTGAGTTTCCAGACAAAATATCTACCTTTTAGAATTAACTTTTTGTGTGTTATGTAAACTTTGACTATTAACTCCATTTTATGTTACTTATATATACATTTATACACACCTGTACCTATAGACATTTTATTTATATAATTATATTTTAATGGTATTTTTAAATGATCTTTTTAACATCATTTCACATTATTTAAATCAAATATTTTCATATATACAGTATGTTATAATATTTTTACGTTTTTACATGGCATCATATAAACCGCGCCCCCTAGCGTATAATAACTGCGCTGCCCTTCGGTGACACGAACTGACAAACACACCTCTGGTAAAAGACGTTAACACAGCGACCTCTATACAGCTGCACTGACGTCACAACAATGAAGGTTAACTCCGAGCTGGAAGGAGCCCGGAAAGACGGCTGACATTGGTCAATATATCAAAAACAAAATGGCCGAACTACTTCCGGTCCCTCTTTCCCAGGTCGACGGAGTCGCATGTCCGCCTCACAAACAGACACTGTTGTTTTTACCAACACATTGTTACTAAGCAATAACTTTTATTATCCGAATTCAGTTGACTTGGCATCAATTACAAAGTCGACTGTACGGAGTTGTGACATTAGCCTTAACCACCGTTAGCACGTCGTTAACCATCAACAGACAGAAGCGTTCATGACTTTACCGTAAAGACTCGTCCACATTAAAACGATGCCTCAGTTGTTGCGGGTGAATTTGAAAGTATCGACTATCACCGACTACTAGCGTTTATAGGTTTTGTCTGACGTTTCTATGCGTCGAGGTGTCGCTACAACAAACAACTTAAATTGCGCTCGCGGAAACAGGAAGTGGTATTAAAGGTCGACCGCAGCGCTTAATCGGGTCACGTGGACAGATGTTCCGGTTGTTTTTTTTGTTTTTGTTTTTTTTTAAATAAATAAATAAAAGTTTTTTTTCTGAAGTTCGATTCCTCCCAAACGTCTATTTTTTAAAAAATGTATTAATACATTTTTATTACTACGTTTGACGTTTTGTAATTTCGTCACAGACCGGTTACAGTCAATGTCCAGAAATCATTTCAACCAATGGGAGGTGGGAACTGACGGTTACTGATCACTAGCTTGAATGTGATTGGTTCATTTTACCTCAAAACATAAATAAATAAAAACGTATTTTACCAGTTTTTGGGGTTTTTTTTCTGGTAAACTCAATTTCACTGGTTTTGTTTTAGGTTCAACTCCTGAAGAGAAAAATAAATAATAAATCCAAATATGTCTGTGAATTACATGAGTGGATGTAAACAACAGATGAGGGAGTTAGGACAGCGATGGGAAAGAAAGAAAGACTGAAGCCACGAGCAGGAAAAGAAAAAGAAAAGCGCCTTACATACACAGAGGACGGGGATGACAGAGGGACGAGGTGGAGGACGGACCAAGATGGATGGAGAGTGGACAGAAAATGAGAGGACTCGGTTGAGTGTGGACACAGCTGCAGAGGGTGGACGCTGCTCCCAGACCTCATCATCTCCAGTGGAACCAAAGAATAAACAAGTTATTTTCAAATCCTACATCTGTCACACACACACACACACACACACACACACACACGGAGGGGCAGTGGTGAGGAACGTGACCAAAAACTCTCAGAAAAACATTTCTACTGATTTGCTCCTGTACTCCTCCTCCCGTAGTCACCTCCTCACAGAGGAGCAGCGGGGAGATCCGGGCGGGCGTCGACCTCCTCTATCTCCTGCAGAATAATTACTGGGAAATGTCCGGTCACTGCCTCCCAATCTGTGGTCAGACGACAGAGGAAACACACTGGTAAACACTCAGATCATCACCGTGTCCCACTGTTGGTGGACACTGGTCCAGGACCTGGGACTCGATGGACTTGGTTTTGACCCCGACTCGAGACTTTTAACTCCTGAACCAGCTGTAAATCAGGGTTTCCAACCTTCAACCCTTCAACAACAGATACACTGACTCCACAGATACGGCCACAAAAGCTATTGACCCACTGCTGCCTCATGTAGTCAAATATGTCACTGTAGAAAACCAGAGCAGAAAGATTTTTACATTACAGAAAAACAGTTGTACTCACTGACGAAGACAGGAAGTGAGTCTTTTTTGTTATTCATCTGCAAAAATAGGACATTTGAATTTTTCTTTTTTTTCTGGGATGAAAACAAACTCTGACCAAATCATAGACCAGAGTGTTTTTTTTACTGCAAGCATATTTTAATACAAAAACAGAACAAAAAATGTTTATAATATTAGTCGTTTTTTTGTTTTACTTTTTAACACGGTTGACTTTTAGTAACAGCCCTCCCATTGCCCCCCCCAGCTTCAATAAGTTCTCATCATCACACTGAAAAAAACACAGCATCAAAAAAAAAACGTTGGACTTGAGCTCGTCGTCCTGAACGTCCTGATCCTCGTCCATCTCCTGGTCTTTAGAGACAATAAATAAATAAAAATCACCTTAAGATGTTTTACTCTTTCTTTCTCACGATCGTTATTGTCATAAACTTCATTCTCTTAGACTGACGGAGAAAAAAAACAAGAGACAAACGCAGCTCTGACTTCCTCGACAGAACAAAAAAAAAAATCCTAGAAGACAGACACGGTGAGGACGCTGTCGTCACTCAGTCTCAGTTCTTTCTCTACACATTAAAGGGCAAACCCCTTTGGTCATGATCTGGGAATTAGAGCAAAAAAAAAACAAAAAAAAACAAAACAAAACCTCCTCTAGGCTGGTGTCTGCCACCTGGTGTTAACAGGAAGTAAAAACAAGCAAAGGTTCAAACACGGACGTCGTGTAAATAAATATTAACTTTTTTTCTCTCCGTCTTTTTAAGCTAAATAACAAAACTGGATTATAAATTAAACTGGAAAACAAAAAGAAAAAAGAACATTTTTGCATACAGTGACTCAAGTCTGTGACCTTTCATTTGTTATTGACTAAAACACACACACACACACACACCTCCTCTGTGTGAGTGTGTGTCCGTGTTAATGGTGGAAACGGCTGCAGAGGAAGTGACCGTTCAAACGTGCTGGTACTGAGAGCCGACGGCTGACGTCGGCCGATGTGCTGTGGAGTCCGGTTGGTCGGCTTCAGGTCTGGGGTTTTTTGTCGACGGTTGAATTCCGTCACTAATCCTCCGTCTGTCCCAGGAATACCAGCCTCGTTTTCCTGCTCCTGATCTTCGTCCACATGTGGCTCCACATCCAACCCCGCAGATCTGCTGACACCACCCGTTTATATCCAGACGGCAGTTTGTTGCATATTTTCTCCTTTTTTAACTCGTTGTCCAGGCATGTGGCCCACAAGCCAAAATATTTACCCACAATTCTTCTCTTTGCCTTTTTCCCTGGAAGTCATGTGTCGGGTTTCACGATGGTGGTGGTTGAGGTGGTGGAGGAGGAGGAGGAGACAGCAGCAGCAGGGTGGTGGAGGCGGCGGTGTGTAACAGTAAAGTAAGGCAGCGTCAGAACGTCAGTCGGTGATTGGTTCCAGACTGGAAGGCAAACCTGTTTGATCTGGTACGGTCCCGTTTGTTGGACCTCACAGACTCCGTCCAGAACTTCTTCTCTTCTTCTGACACCGTCAGCCGTAGTGCATCAGTTCAGAACCCGCTCTGAAGAACCCGATGGTTATTTCTTCACAGAGCCGGGGGTCTTTGGACTGGCCCCCTTCTTAGAGATGGTGGGGATCTTGGAAGGCTTGGCCCCGCCCCCCGGTCGTCGCGGCGTATCCGAAGTGTCGGAGCAGACGGATCGAGAGTCCTGGAGCTCAGAGGCGTCGGAGGCGTCGCTGCCTCGGCGGCTGCTGGCCCTGCTGCCCGCCTGGCTGCCCGCTCGACTGGTGGCGCCGCTGGCTCCTCGCTTCGGATCTGAGAGAGAGAAGAAGAATCGAGGTTGAAGAAGGTTCGTTTGTCACATGACATCGACCACAGACCGACGGCAGTGAAACCAGAATTGGGAAAAAAAATTATGAACACATTGAAATAGTGCCCCCTGTTGAAAATCAATGACTGCTCTCTCATCCTCACCGCTCCGCGTTGGTTTGCTGGAGTGCGTCGTTCCTCCGTTCTCTCCAGTCAGAGATCCTCGGCTGGAGTGGAATGTCGGCCTCTTCAGTTTAGATCCAGACGCCGCCCCCTGCAGGTAAACAGAGGTAATGTTAGTTTAGCACAGCTCTAATTTGGAGCTGTGACTCAACATCAGATCAAATACAAACAATGGTGAAAACGTTAAACATCAACTGTGACAATATAGAAATGTGACAGTAGGTGGCATCAGAAACAAATCTGGAAGTTGTTCAATTTTAACTGGGGGTGTGTATTGGTCAGAATCTGGTGATACGATACGGGGCAACGATACGATGTATTGCGACATACTGTGGTACTCTGGGCAAAACAATATATTGTATTTAATTTTCAGTAAAATATAATATACAAAATAAAAATATATTAATATAAAATATTTAAGTTTTTTTTATCTGTAGTCAAAGTGTGATCATAGTAAAGACTCAATGCTCGAAAAGAAAAAAAAAACAAATATTGATACAGGATCGTGAAACTAAATATCACGATATTCAAGCGTGTCGATAATTTTAACAGTTTGTCAAATGTAAGTACTTTTAAAAAGTGTACAAAAAATATTCTCCAATAACTGCAGTTCAGATTTTTGACCAGCAAAAAAAAAACAGTAAAGTGTGTGTGTGTGTGTGTGTGATCCCACGTGTGAGTGTGTGTGTGCATTAGTGCCATCTGCTGGGGGCGGAGCAGTACCAGGTGATGGGGCAGGTGGGTTGTGGGTGGGGTTGTTTTACCTCTGTGTGCCCAAGACTGTGGTTGTGGTTGTGACCCAGGTCTGGGCAGCACTGGCACTTGGTCGGTGTCGGACTTTTACTGTGTGCCAGCCAGGGCTTGGCATAGTCACGGGAGTGAGTGTGAGAGGACTGGAGGGAGGAAGGGAGGAAGGGAAGGTGAGGGGGAGGAGCGAAGCAAGGCAGCGTGGGAGAGAAGCAGGTCGGGGAGGAGGGAGGAGGGAGGAGGGGAGGTTTGAGTTGTGAGGAAAAGCAGCAGCAGCAGCAGCAGCAGTGTGTTTGTGTGTGAGTGGAATTTTTTTTTTTTAAACCCAACAGTTCAGGTGCAAAAGACAAGAAAAAAAGACAAAAGTGAAGGAAAAAAAAACAACAGAAAAAAAACAGTTTAGAATGTGATATTTGACAACAGGTGAACGTATACGACAGACACAGTACGCAGTACACAGATACAGAGATACAGTACACAGAACACAGATACAGTACGCAGTACACAGACACAGTACACAGATATACACACTGAACAAATGAAAGGTAATGATGTTGAAGATTCTATAAAAATGACAAACTCATACATTAAACTCTGATCTGTTCATTTCTCTGACTTTTCTCCACTAAGTTAAACATAAAAATAAACATTTATTAAATATGAGGAGAAAGTCAAAACATCGTTGTATGAACTTTTTTTTAGGGAAATTTAAATCTGAATGATGAAAGAGGAAGAATAAACATTCTGAACTGGAAATTAACGTACGATGCAATGAAAGACAAGCGACGTGAGGACAAACAGGTGAAGTGTTCTTACCCTGGACGATGCTGAGGCTGTGGGTGTAGCAGGAGCAGAGGGGGCAGAGGGCAGGGAGGCCCCGCTGTGGGAGGCTGACGAGGAGGACCTGGTGGGGGAGGCGTTCCTGGAGCCCGGTTTGGAGCGTCGTCCCCTGGACCTGAAAGCGGCCAGACCTTGAGACGCTCCTTCAGGGAGGATGAACTTCTCCCTGAGCTCCAGGTTGGTGCGTCCACGAGCTGAGGGAGAGACAGGAGACAACGTGGGAGGTTGGTTGGTGTTCATTGGCGTGGGAGTTTAGGTTTCCT